TTCTAGGAGGGTTGTTCTGCTGTGATCTTGCCAGATGTCCTGACTATCTTAGTCTTCGTATTTTTATAAGAGATACTACATCTTTACCACCAAATATATATTTATATCTGTGATATATCTCGTAGTTGTACCTCCTTCTCCAAACACCATTTTCACAGATGCCACCGAATATTCTTCTCAGGATTCTTCATTCAAATATAAGCAGGAGGTTTTCATCTGCATTGGAAATGGTCCATGTCTCCTATCCATATGTCAACACTGGTTGTATAAGGGTTTTGTATATGGTTATTTTTGTTTTTTGGCTTAAGTTTTAGCTTCTCATATGTCTACTCAATCCAAAATAGCATTTGTTTGCTAGGATTATTTTTCGCTTGATTTCTTCATACAATTGCTTCATACGCTTTAAATGTGTGATGCATGCAAAATCAATTTTTTAAATAAAATTTGTATCAACTCTACAGCAAACATTCGATAGCTTTTGAATAGAGTGTCTTATTGAAAAAAATTAAAATGAGTTCTAAAGATGAAGAGTGCAGCTTTTGTACACAATTTTTGCTTTTTGCCATAAATAGCAAAAATCGTTAGAAGTAAAAAAATCGAAATAAATTTAGAATATTTAATAAATCAACATAAGTATTTGTTAGGTGGATGTTCAGTAAACTAACTATTCGTTTTACTTATTGATATTGTTCTGAAGCTATTTTATTGTGGCATTTTAAATTAATTACTATTTAACTGGGAATAAGCCACAATTAAAGGTTAAAGTACATTTATTGACGTTTCAATTTCCACTTCAGAAATCATTCTCAAAATACAAACATTAGTGATGTTTGTATTTTGAGAATGATTTTCGAAGTGGAAATTGAAACGTCAATAAACATATTTATACCTTTAATTGTGGCTTATTCCCAGTTAAATAGTAATTTACTCATTGATGTTCCCTGAAATTATTGATTATAGTCACATATGGAAGCGAAATATGGACATAAAACAACATAAAATCCTTTAACTAATGTATGGCCCTTGCAGAGATAGTGTAATAAACAAATGGAGGGGCAGACATAACAATGAGTAAGTGTCACTCTTTGGAAAGGAAAATCTAGTGAGATATATAAAGGTCAATATACTAAGATGGGCAGGACATGGAATACACAGTAACAATTGCCCTATAGACAATTTGGTTTGGGTAAGACCAGACGGGAGAAGGTCTGTAGGATAGCCTAGAATAAGGTGAAAATATGCAGTTGAGAGGATCTGGAGAAAATGCTAGTGAAACAATGGGAAATACTGGCACAAGAGCTACAAACATAAGTTATAGTAAATGCAGCAGACAGAGTTATAACACCATTGATAATGAGGTTAATGTTCCCTTATATATAAGGAAAATAATGTGGCTGCAATTGGATTAGTCACCTGCAGCTTTCCATATTGATGACTGTGGTTTTTTGAGTAATCATTTCCAAAATCAATCAATTAAACTGGTGTATAACACATCCCCAAAAAACACAAGATACAAGAGTTTGCAAGAGTACTTATCTGTAGATGTTCTATAAAATGTTGATAACAATTTTTTTATTTGTAATATTTGTTTATGGGTGTATTATTTTTAGGCAAAGTAAAAATTGTGTGGATTTATTAAGAAAAAATCCATTTCAATTATTGTAAATTAAAATAAATATATATTTTATACATAATATTTTACACAATGAAAATTTTGGTATGATACTCTTGCCAATAAAAGCCTCTTTATGTTTATTGCAGATATTGAAAAATATAATAATGTATAGGGTTTCATTAAAGAAAACACATCTTTGGTATAATTAATATTTTTTGGCACATTGTGTATATAACCAAAAACATTTTAAAATACACTTTAGTACACACTCACACCCCAAAGATTAAACTATTTAAAAATTAAATGATAATGCCATAATCATATATGTTGAAATAATACTCTGTATATGAAACACGACAATTTATCCATCCTAATTTTTGACCAAATGTAGTTGCTGTGTGGTATGTAGTTTATAACAGAATATTATTTCAATTTGGGCAAATCAATATTGTTTTTTGGTAAAATTGTTACTATTACGAAAAATGAAAATCATAATTACTTATACTGCAGTATCCAGATGTTGAATAGAAATGCAACTCAATTGAGAAAGGTCTATTTATGGTCTTAAGACAAAGAAAATGCAATAATAACCTCAATAAATAGTACATTGTTTACCAGGTAGGAAAAGCTTAACATTCCTGGACGACTGTGAAGATTGCTAAGTCGAGGCGCAAGCCGAGACTTAGCAACACAGAGTCCAGGAATGTGGCTTTTCATACGAGGTAAACATACTATTTTTCCGCAAATCGTTTAAAATTCGACAGATATTGATTGATTTAAAAAAAACGCGATAATTTTATTCCCAAATAAATGGTGCTTTGAAATTCCTAATAAAATTACTTGGGTTACTATGGAAACGTATTGAGGTTGAATTGTCAAACTTGACGCTTATAAATTTAATTGCTGGTGTTCTCGAAAGTAAAATGATAAGTGATGATGAAATTTCCATTCCTGGGACTCCTCCAGAGCTGGTTGAGGCAGTGAATACTGTTTCAAAATATAAATTAATTCCTTATAAGCAATGTGTTTTCTATCATTTATGTAGAACACTAACAACTGTACGGAAATATCATTTCCTTACAGTAAGGAAGTCCTGACTTTTTCTTCAAGAAATTTTGACAGGAATGTCAAAATTTCCTGGCGATTTGCGGAAAATTAAATTTACTATGAAAATAATGATCTTCGATAGAACAACAGTATAAATATAAATTAAAAAGAACATATTACAAAAGGAAAGATCTAAAAAGTAAAAATAAATGAAAAAACACTGAGATTTAAAACTTGAAAAAAGTTCTCAAACATTTAAAAAAAAACATGTTTTATTTCCTAGTGTTTTGTTTCCTGATATTGATAGAATTGCTTTTAACAAAAAATATAGACGCTTAAGCGTCTATATTCTTTGCTTTTAATCTCAATGTACTACACAAAAGTGTTGTTATAGAAACAAGACTTAAAATCATCAGATCAAAGCATCAGATATCTGCATCAGATAAAAGTTTCATATTCCCTTTGCTTATAAAGTATTCTCAAAAACAATTAATAAAAATCCATAGAACAAAAATGTTCTAAACCAATTCAATTGAAATTTAAATGACCCAAATATGAGTTTACCAGTAAAAAACAAACATTAAACTAATCAAAGTTCTGGTAACTATACATTACAAACAGAAGATAATTTTGAAAATAATTAAGAAATCCCTACACTAGCTTATGTTTATTAAATATATGAGGAAAGAACCATTATAATAGGCTACAACTTTGCCTGGGAGATCATTCCAAATTGTTCCAGCACCAATTGCATCTTTAACACTGTTTCAGGTAACTACTTTTGTTGCACACTACAGGAAGAACCATTAACTTTTAAAATACATGAATATAGGACAAGAAAAAAAGGGTAAACAAAAAGTTTAGAAACAACAGAGGTATATGACTATACAGAAGAGAGGGTACATAATTACATTAAAAATTTCATGAACAGTAATTTAAAACAAGAAAGGTAACAGCCTCAACAGGGATAACCATTGAAACCTCTTGGAAGCTTCAAACACACACTAAATGGTAACACTAGTTAATTATCCACATATGTTTAAATTCATGATTTTTAGGAACATTACATATTATGAAATCAACTGTTAGCTTTTAATTTGCACAGTAAATACGTAAATAAACAATTTGAACTATAGTAATAAAAGATACTAACCATTTAAAGTACGGATAGATGTGAATGAGGTTATCCCCCATTTTCCCACAGTAGCTGCTGACCTAGCAGCTGAGGGTCTATTGCTATTTTCTTTAAACAAGTTATCAAAGTGGAAACTGGCATGGGACCCACCACCGCGACGATATTTTCCATATCCTCTAGACATTTTTTCTCACGTAAAAATTGTCACAAAAGTCTGTCCTATGTTGATGATTAAGATGTACCCATCATGATCCATTATTAAGTGTTCAATGTAGAAAATATTAACACAGGTGTAAAATCGTCATTTTACAAGGATAAATGCAAAAATATACTGAAAAACCTTTTAAAAATTGATTGTAATATCGCCATTTTTTGGTCCAACATCCAGCTTAAATGTTTATGGCGTCTATTGTTTACTTGGCGCTGGGAAAATTGTTCACTAACTTGAATGGCATTGGAATAAAGTAATACTTTATTAGAATCTCTATTTTGTAAATCGGGAAAATAATTATTTTTCACTTGTCAAAAAGCAGATTTTCACATTCATAAACACGCCAGTAAATAACAGCTACGGATTTACTACGAATTTACACAGTTGCCAACACGTCGAAAGTAGTTAAGTTTGTTTATATTTTTGTTTTAATACAAGAGCAGTACACAGAACAAAAATGCTGCAAATTTTTGAGACTTTTATGATCTACCAATAATTCCAGATTTTCTATATATTTGAAGATTGCTTTATGTATTAAACATTAAAACTATTTAATCCACAATTTGGCAATGTCGGATCATTACAGTTCTACTGAGTTGTTATAAAAGTTTATATAGTCATAGGCACCATTCTAACGTCAAACGTCAATCAGGACCAAATTGCCCAAAGAATGAGTCAGTATGTCAAACAGAAGAAAGTTTTGATGTTTTGAACCAGGGTGATCAGGTTTTCATATAAAATGCCTAGACAATTAAATATATTTTAAACCAATAAAAAACGAGAGCGCCAAAAATTAAAATTCAATTTATAATTATTGTTATCTTTATATTTAATAATAGAACAATTTGTTTTGTTTATAGTTGTTAGGCCTTGAAATATCTAAAAAACGATTAGGTTCAATTATTTAGATAAGAACAAATTCCAAACCAGTTATGCTTATTATTATCATTATATTATGATTTATAATTGACCATCAGTTACTTTAATAGGTTATGTATAAAACTATGAAGTTTCCATGTATAAAGATAATTAACAGTATAAAAAAAGCATTATCTCGTCATTATCATCATACTGCAAATCAACTCGAAAGAAGTATGACTAACATGCGTAGTTATCAGGTAACATTAACGCAGATATAATTTATTAAATCTTATTTTGAATCATTTTAGGAAGCACTTCAGGCTTTAAATGAGCTTCAAACTAATGCAGACTATATTAAAAATGTGGCAAATCAGCCAAGGAATGCATCTAATATTCCAGAAGTTATTAAATTTTTAGGCAGGTGCGTTTCTGCAGTAATTTCTTTCATAAACAAATTATATCAAATTTAAGTAATGATAGTCTTAATTTTCCTTTATTTTTAAGAAAAACGAATTTTGGTTGTAACTTTTTATACTCATAAAAAATTAGAAGGTAAATTAATGTTAAACCTTAGTAAAAATATTATTCTACAAGTATTTCTATACTTTGTATCTTAGTGATAAATTCTTAATAAGTATGTATGGATAAATCACTTTTAATTTTAGGACTGGTTTGTCTGTAACTGATCTAGATAGATTGTCTGTCATCCATGTGACTGGGACTAATGGGAAAGGTAGTACATGTGCCTATACTGAAAAGATATTGAGAAGTCATGGCTGTACAACTGGATTTTTTTCATCACCACATCTTCTTGATGTACGAGAACGAATTAGAATAAATGGAAAACCAATATCCAAAACAGTATTTAAAAATTATTTTTGGAAACTTTATAATTTGCTCAACAAGCAAAAGGTAACTATTTATTTAATTAAATATATCCTGTCCAGATTAGAAATTGAAACATCAAAACAAATTTAAAATGTAATTCATTGTGGTTTAATCCCGCATAAAATACTATTTAATTTAAACCATTAGGAATATCAAAAATAACTTGAAAGCACCATAAAAATTAAAAGAATAATATAGTTTGAGATAACATATCATTGTCAACACAAGACAAACTTATAACTCTATTTTCCTTAATTTTATAGGAGAGCCTAAAAACAGTAACATTTTCACAGATATCTTTCATTTGATAACGAAGGATGATTAAGCAACTATATTTTGAGTTTTTAAGTCATATTATGCTGAGTTATATCAACTTATTTTAACTTTAATTTTCAAAATTAGCTGATATAGCTAAAAACACAGAAACTTTGGAGTTACAGATTTTTCTTCTTTTGATTCTTTTAACACACAAAAAATATCCTAATATTGAAATATAGATTAAGTAATAGTATTCAAAAACATAAAAACATAAAACTTAATGTTTTTTTATTACGTTAGAAATGAAAATTAGCCGCATTTTGAAAAAAAATAAGGAAAATTTTAATCTAAAATAAAATTGCATAAAAATAAAAACAAGTTAGTACAATAGTGATGTGATAGGACTTAAAATAGCATAGTTACTGTAGGAGATTGTCATAAAATGAGTAATCAGAGAAAATAATCAGATGAGAAATGGGTAATTGGAATCAAGGGTATTTTTTAAAAACTGCAAATGTTTGATTTTTTAATGATATTCTATTTGTGTAAAGTTTAGGCTGATCTGAAAAATTTTTGGGTATCATATTCTTATTTATTTGATAAGGCAGTTCAATCCAATATTCAACAAATCTCATATTGTAGTGAATACTTTGTGGTGAATATTTTGTAGCTCTAATATCTGTCACAACTTCATCACCCTTTTTTTTACTTGGTCGAATTCTGCTTACAGAGTTTACTGCTCTGAAATCCTTAAAAAATTATGGTATAGTTGAGTTACTAATCAACACACACATTAATATCTTGTTCTCTTGGTTGTCTCTCAGTTGCACTGTGCATCATGTCGACTTCCATCTGGGTGTGCTCTTTCTCAAGGTATTTTTGTATAACTATTAATGTCTGCTTTAAACAAATTTGAAAATTGCATTAGCTAGTCGCATTACAATTTTGGTAAGTACATCAATTGCTAAAAATAATTATTTTACATATGTTTTCCTCAAGACGACTCGCTTATTATTGGTAATTTTATATTTTTCCATATAATAATGTAATAGTATATTTTTCTAAAATATTTACGACTACACTAGCAAATTTGGCACTATTAAGATTCCCCTTCGACTCATCCCAAAAAATACAATGCCCTTGTTTTGTGTGTAAGTTATACAAAGCGAAATTGTGGATTGTCAACTCTTTTCTGTAATATAATGAAGAAACATTAGATAAAAGGATTGAGTGTCAATCCATTGTCAATACAATACTTTCACTGTTTTTATCTTTCATTTTCTCACGTCTTGATTTTTCAACTGATGTTTGCTAAATATTTTTTGGCCAAGATTTCCTGTTTTGAAAGAGACATGTTTCTTAGTAACACATAAATTTTGTTAACATGGTAAAGTTGACATTTACTTTTTACCATAATGATTCTATATATAATTTACTAGTTGATTGCCTGCAGTAATGCGATTATATTTTCGGCAGTCCATCTAGAAAGATTGTCTAACTTCTTCTTGTGAAGTCCTTTAAGCACTTGTCATGGTTTATTATCCATTCATAACAAACCAATCCTTAACACTCAGAGTCGACAAAAACATTTTGGAAATTTAGATTTGCATCCTTTGTTTATTCTAAATGTTATAACATCTTATCCATGGACCTGTTTTGTTTGTCTACTAAAAATGTCTTGATGTGCCCCTAGACTAGAAACGAGTGTCCTGTATGTTTCCTTATCCTATTTTCCTATATTGCAACTTGCTAAATAACTAATGTCTATGCCATAAAAAAACATACGTAATATAAGGAATTATAGCTCTGCAAGACCATGTGAGCGTTCAAGAAATTATTAGAAAATATTACATACAGCATTAGTAGAAGTATACTTTAAAATATGACTGAAGTGCAAAACACCAAGCAAATATGTAGAGACAGGAATAGGAAATATTCTTCCAATTACTTCAAATTCTTCTCTGGCTCTCTATAATTCATCATTCTGGCTTTACAACCCTGCGTGGGTCCTAGCCTCCTCAAGAACTTCTCTCGAGTGATCCATATCCATCGCGTTCTCCGCCAAGCACATATTCCCACATTTCTCATGTCTTCATCAATGTTATCAAGGAACCTTGTACTGGATCTTCCTCTTCTTTTCTGTTCAATGGGTCCATCAAGAAGCGTTTTTCTAGCTGGGTCATTTTTTTTTCATCCTCATTACATGTCCTATCCACCTCAGATGTCCTATCTTAATATGTTTTACGATATCAGGTTCCTGGTATATTCTATAAAGTTCGAAGTTGTATCGTCTTCTCCACACTCCATTGTCATTCACTGCTCCATAGATTCGCCTTAGTACTTTTCGAAACATCCTAACATGTTTTCATTATTTCTTGTTAGAGTCCAGGTCTCTGAACCATATGTGACGACTGGACCTATTATTGTTTGTAGAGTTTTAGTTTTGTATTTTTCGATATAATTGTGGATTTAAGGAGAAGATTGAGCCCAAAATAAATATCATCTGTTGGCCGTGCAAATTCTGCGGTTTATCTCTGCGGTAGTATTATTTTCAGTGTTAAGGAGCGCTTCCAGGTATACAAATTCGTTCACTGCTTCGATGACGTCGTTTTCTATAACAAGTGGTCGTAGGATTTGTGGTTTCGTGCTTATTTTCATATACTTCGTTTTGTTGGTGTTTATGATTAAAACCTTAGACCATAAAAACTGATAGACACGCCTTGTACCGAACCGTTGAAGCAAAGACCTTCCGCGAAAGTGACGTCACAATGCGGCAAGAGCCCGCTTGGATTCTTAGCAAAGCACTAGTATAATTACCCAATTTTAGATTAATTTTAATATAACTTCAATATTTTGTAAAAAATATGGAAGATAAATTATTTAGCAAAGTAATTAATAAATATTTTTGCCTTAAATTGTAAAAATAAATGATTTATTTGAAAGTACATACCTACATATATTATTATATATATCGTTGGTATATCTCTTCTTGTTTGATATTCAAAAATAAAATTTAAAGGAAGGTAAATTTTCTTTTGGGTGGAAGTTTCAGGTTAGGTAAAAAATATGTAAGAAATCTATTAATTTATTGACCATAAAACAAAATAGCTTTTTTTAACTTACTTTTAACTCTTATTACATTATTTAGTTTTTCACCTTTGTGATACAATCTAATGTTGCAATAATGGAAACAAATTATCTTTATTAGATTAAACAAATGGTTTGTTTTAAAATCATGATCAAACATATGTTTTTTGTATGCGTTAAACACAGAACCATGAACCTTACTCATGACATTTAAGATCAATTGATATGTTCAATGAAATTTTAAGTAGCTTCGACATGTACAAATTCGTTTGAGATTTTATTTCTCATATAATTTATTGCCTTAGCAACTTTATGGCTGAACGTTTGGGCAGCTAATTTCGCTTTCATTTTTTCCTTATACCAATTTAAATGCCTTCGCGTTATCCTAGTTGCAAGATAAATGCCTTCCTTTTCTCGAATGTCTACTAATTTTTGCAAATATTCCCATTTAATCGCCTTATTATTCCCGTCAAAAAAAATTTGTAATAACCTAAAGTATTGCAAATAGGTTTCAATATATGTGAAGGATCAGATATTACATATTTATATTGGTTGATTTGTTGCTGGATGTAGAAAATATACTTTATTGGAATTAAACGATAAATCAACTCCAAGTTGTTTAACCATGCTAATATTTGACGCTGCACCATCAAACGTTAAACTGGTAATTGTGACATTAGCTTCGTGCATTATTTTTAAGCACATTTTTATTAGATTACTTTTTTGAACACCTGGTAACCCCGATTAAAAAGTAGCCTCTCGGCAAGTTCCATGAATCAATAATTTTCCTTACCGAAAGAAAGAGAAGAATCTTCGTCGATCATCTGTTTTTCGTTAAGATGTTCTAATAAAGATTTTAAGGTATTTACTTTTTTAATAAGCCTTCTATTTCGTTGTTGCAACATTTTGATTTGTTTGTGTTTCTTTTGAATTAATTTGTTGACTACTACTTTATATCCCTGGTCTCTGTTAGATGATCCTTGTTCAAAGTCACCAAGATAATGTCTTCGCTTTTTCAAGGGAGGTTCTAAGGTAGTTTCGTCTGAAATTTCTACTGGAGTCTTTATGGTGGTAGATTCACTCGTTATATTTATATCTTCCCTTTTAGATCCTGTTGGTTTGACTGAAATAGTTTCTATTTTTTGTAAATTTTCTAGTTGTAACTTGCCTAATTAAATGGATTGGAAAATCGAAAATGCTAGGTACAGCATCTTTTCTTAGTTGTTTTTTTGAACTCCAACCACTAGTAATATACGAATCCGCTGTGAAATGTTTGGAGCAAATTTTAAAACTCTTTGTTTGTTTAAACTTTTCACGGCGCGTCGCTATAATCCATTTTTTTTGCAATGATGAATCTTTGGAAATCTAAAACAATTTATTTACTTAATCCTTTAGTTTTCAATCTAATTATAAAATGAAAATTATATATAATAAGACTTTCTCTCATATATATCTATTTTAAACGCTTTGAGAGGAAAAAGTAAAATAATAGGTGCTAAATTTCTGGTATGTTTTTCAAGTTTAATTTGTGAATTTACTTACCCATGAAATGATATATATGTCCCTTTTTTTTGTCGCTTCGTACAATTAAATGCACTGCAAGATGCCACCATAATTAAAATATTAATGTATTGGAAAATTTTTAAATTAAAACACTTTCAAAAGTTTACAACTCGTATAAAGACTTCTAATCTCTACCGTTTCTGCCTCAAACTGACGTCACCCACAGCTGTGTGAATCGTTTTATGTTGGCTTCACTCTTCGAGACGAGAGAATAGCATTACGGCGCGTCTATCAGTTTTTATGGTCTAAGATTAAAACCATTTTTGTAGCTGATTCTTTTAGTGCTACATACGCCTCTCCATTCTCCCAACAATATTGATATCAGCAAAGGCCAGGATTTGCACTGATTTATTATATATTGAACCAGTGGTTGTGATTTGTGACATATGTATTACTTTTTTCAGGGCCAGATTGAACAGTATACATTATTTATTTTAAAAGGTTCAGACAGTTCCCAGTGAATTCATACTCTACATTCAACTTTTTCAAGAGTTAGTTTTGTTAAATTTACCAACTGATTTGGTATTCCTAGCTCTTCCATTGCTTTGAACATTTCTCTTCTATTCACTGAGTCGTATAGGCTGCTTTGTAATCTATGAGTATCAATCTCATATTCCAGTGTTTTTTACAAAATTTGTTTCAGGGTTGCAATTTGATGAATTGTAGATTTACCACCTCTGAAACCAGTCTGGTATTTTCCTACTATCCGTTTTGCATATGGTGCTATACAGCGACATAGTACTGTGGAAAATATTTTATACGCTGCATTTAGAAGCGTAACTCCTCTATGGTTGGAGCATTCAAAGATATCTCCTTTTTTGTGTATGTTGCAAAGTATTCCAATATTCCAATCATTGAGGAGAGATTTCTGTGTCCATATTTCTTTTGTAAGCTGCTGTAGTGCCATAATGATATCATGGCCACCTTCTTTATATAGTTCAGCTGGGAGATTATTCCGGGTGATTTGTTTCTGGCTAGTTTTTAACTGCATCTTTAACTTCAAGAATCGTTGGTGGTTCCTCTTCCCTCTCGTGTGCTCGCCTACCCTATCTCTTTTGTCTTTTTTCCAGGTTTTCTTCTTCCTTCACATTAAGTGTCTGGGTAAAGTATTCTACCCATCTACTCAATACATCTTTCCTTGTTGTCAATAGGTCGCCATTCTGACTTCTGCATTGTCTTTTGGTTGCCTTGAATTCTTTTCTGTTGATATTAACTTTCTTCCAGAATGCTTTGAATTATTTCTCTCTGTTGAGGTTTTCTATATATTAAAGTTCTTGCATTCATCGACAAACCAATGATTTTTACGGGCACACATTTCTGTTCCTATTTCATCTTTTGCTGCTGCTTCAATGTCTTCCTTTATTCTGGTTCAGTAGGGTGTCTATATCTGTCTGGCCTTCTTCATTTACATTTTGGTTCGTTAGCCTGTTGGTGATGTTTTCCAAGTATCTACCGTTCTGCAATTGTCGCATCTCTCAGCTTTTGCAAATTCCCTTTTTTTATATCCATTTTATTTTCTTTACTGGTGTTTGACATTCTAGCCCTTAATGTTGAGATCACTAGGCAATGATTTGAGTCTATGTTTGCGCCTCTATAACTTCTGCAGTTTATTACGTCTGTTTCATGCCTTGAATCTATTAAGATGGGCTCTCTATAATTTCTGTGTCCAAAATGTGAAGGTGCAGGTTCACAAAAATTCTGACATTTATCAAATTTTGTGTCTAGTACTAATTCAATCAGTTTGTCTCTTTTGATCTTCTACACTGAATTTCATTGTCTGGGGCCCTGAGCAACCTGTGATAATCACTCACTCCTCACTACATGACCATCTCATCAAAGTCTGTGGAGTCTAGCAAATTCTGAGATGGGTGTTTTTTTGAACAGTTGAATCATGACATCATATATCATCATAATTCTCAGCAAATGTTTCACATGTTTCAATTTCATAAAGGTACTGATGAGAGGCGAATAATATCATACAACACCTGTTGAACCCAGTCCAATCTTGTTTACCAACTTTTTTATTCTTCTCTATTTATTTCTATCCTTTCTGCCTCATTTCATGGTGATTTTCTTTTCTGGAGCTTTGTGATGTTAAGTTTGTTTAGTAATAGCAAATAGTTGATGTAGGTGCTCTTAATGTATAATCAATCCATAGTCATTCTCATTTTCTGATTGTAATTGCTCATTTATTCTGTGTCGTTTAATCTACATAGATTTTTATTTGTTGTTTTCTAGCACGTTTGATGTGCCTATTCTCCTTTTTATGCCATTTTCTATGTTCTGCCGAAGCTGCCTTACTATGCTGGAGGTTCACCTACAGTACTCTTATAGGAGCCATGTCTCTGATAGTTTTGAAGAATATTTTTCCAAGTCTGTAGTACGCCTTAAAATTAGCAGCTTTCTATATTTTTAGGAAAACCTGTTCAATCTTGTATACGAGGATTTTCATATCCTCCCCGATCTTCAGATTTTTCAACAATCAGTCTTTCATCTTAGGATCTTGATTTTGCCACTCTAGATGGGCCCTGATTGTTTTCCTCAGCCTTTGGGCTTTATTGGAATCGACAATATTCAAGTCTGCTCCCTCCCACAGGTCCTCCCTAGATTTCACATCTTCAGTAGTCCATTGTTTTGTGTATTCATTGGCACAGTTCCCCAAAGGGCCCTGTGTTAAACAATATTTTATGGAATTGCACTTGATTTTCTTCCAATAAGATTTTCTTTCATTCACTGCTTGTTCAAGTTTGGTGGTTGTTCCAGTATCAGGATAGTGTTTGTGTGCCACCGTAATCCTGAATATTTGATGTTGCTTGGTTTTTTAGCAACAATTTACGTGGACTGGGGGTAACGGTCTTCTCCAGAGGTCTCTTTTATACTCTCCTGTTTTGCTGGTACTTCCACTGTGGATTTACGCAGATTTGCAGGCATTTTTGCACCTCTCATACTCTTTTTTTGAGCTGCAGAGAGGCAGTTTTTGCTACTTTTCGCAAAGTCTTTTCCTCTTGGAATACCTTGCGTGTATTTTCCATACCCATTCTTATTTTGTAAGCCACACCGTCAGACAAACTGTTTGTTCTTAGTCTAGTGTTAGTTTTTGTGTAAATGTATTTAATGTATATAACATTCAATGACGTGCTGGATAGCCAACATTTTTGACGTAATGCCCCTGAAGATGCTCTTAGGGTGAAAGTACTTGGGCGAGATTTAATAAAAAACTGTGCTCGAAATCGGTCTTTTATTTGTAAAGTTCATATATTCTAGCATTCAACCATATATTTTTTTATTTCATATAAATATTGTTCAACGATGCTTCTGTAACCATTGCAATAGTACATAATGACGGTACTAGATTTTGGTTCAATACAGAGCAGCGACGAGCCGCTTATACGTATTTTGACCTCTTTAGGTCTCCTCAGAGGGGTATAGCCACTACTCCGTATGAAAACAAAATCTATTCCACCGTAAAATAGTTTCGAAACACAATTCAGATTTCCGCTTTAATATGTGATTTCTAAAAATTGCAAAGCAAAACAGACGTTGATAAAGGTGTTAAAAGAGACGTGGGGAATCTAAAATTTGCTTTCCACAACACGTCTTTTCAACTAAGCAGAAATCCTTAGCGAATTGGTTTCTAGTACTCTTACAGAGTAGATCCGAATAAAGTGAAAAGACAGCAAATATTTGATTTCACGCAAACTGTGCCTTTGTATCTGTTGATACGTATTTCGACCTAATAGGTCTCATCAGAACAGTTATTCAAAGGTGTTCTCAACGTGAAAGATCAATATTTTCTGTCTTTTAAGAAGCAACAGTAAAATGGCTTCGATACGGACGCACTAGCGACATCTGACAATAAAACCGTAAACTAGTTTCGAAATACAATTCAGATTTCCGCTTTAATCTATGCTTTCTAAAAATTGCAAAGCAAAACAGACGTTGATAAAGGTGTTAAAAGAGACGTGGGGAATCTAACCTTTGAATAACTGTTCTGATGAGACCTTCTTCTTCTTCTTCTTTTGGCATCATAACCCTGGATGGGTCTTTACCTGTCTGGCTATGTCCTTTCATTCAGATCTCCATTGTCTTATGTTCATTTCTGATGAACATAAGACAATGGAGATTTTATATCTAGCTCACATAATCCTCAGTTCCTTCTGTTTGTACTTGAAACTAACACTAAAATTGTAGCGGTGACATCAATATATGGTTTTACATATATGCGACCAATTCTAATGCGACCCTAGTTAGATGACAATGGATAAAGATTTTAATACTTACAGAGCGACATGTTTCTTTGCTCGACTTGAACACGTGGTTCTTGTCTGACTTGGCTCGACTTGAACACGTGTCAAACTGAGTTGGTCTGTGTCGTTTTAACTGACAAGAACCACGTGTTCGAGCCGAGCAAAGAAACATGTTGCTCATTAAGTATTAAAATCTTTATCCATTGTCATCGACCTACGGTCGCATTAGAATTTAAATTTTTAAATTTGTAAAACCATATATTTATGTCACCGCTACAATTTTAGTGTTAGCTTTAAGTACAAAAAAGAACTGAGAATGATCTGAGCTAAATCGAAAACGTTTGTATCTATAAATTTTGGACGACACTTTTAACAAGTTTTAAATCAAATGTTTTATACCAAGATACAAATTTAAAGTGTTTTACTTCTGTATAAGTTTTTAAACTATGGTATACAATCAACTACTGGGATTTTCCCATTAATTTTTGTAGAAAGACATGTGAGATATAGTAAAAGTACTAAATCACTTATCCAGAATACCAATTTCGGTGTCCGGTATTTCTAGTATGGATATATGGCCATTATTCCAATGATATTCGCCATCTTTTTCCAACGTATACATTAAGTCAGTTGCTTATTAATAATAATTATGTGATAAATCATTAGGTAATATGTAAATATTTTTTCTTAATTTTTAGGATTCTCCCGCAGATATGCCATTATATTTTCGATTCATGACGATATTAGCTTTTCATATATTTTTGGATCATAAAGTGGATGTTGCTATTTTAGAGGTGGGAATTGGTGGAGAATATGATTGTACAAATGTTGTAAGGTAAATTTTTAAAGAATTTGTGGTTTTGTAGGCAAATACATATTTGATGGACAATTTTTTGAAAAATTTCTGGTGCAACATATTTTAGTTATTTTTTAATACTAATTTTGTCTTAGATGCAATTGATTTATTTTTTTTATGTTACGTCGTGATAATCCAACACATTTGCGCGCACTCAAATAGATGCATCTTAAAGATCACTACTTTCTTTTTACATTAATACAAAGAGTGGGGAGAATATTTAGTTGTATTATGGAGCCGTTGGGTGCCAAAACACTTTACAGTCTTCTTGGCATGGACAAAATTTAATGCCATGTCGTAAAAATCCACTAGACCTCTCATTATTTTATTATGGAGCTTCTTCGCATGAACAAAATTTAATGTCTCATGTAATAATTCATTAGGCCTCTTAAAACATTTTCAATATCTTCTCATGGTTTATATTCTCGTTTTAAAATAATTTCATATAAATACAATTATTATTTTTAAACATATTATTTAGTTTATATGATACCTAACTAAATTTACTATCAAATGCTATTATTATATTTTATATTTTATTAATAATTATGGTTTGAATTTGACAGGTTTGTCATAAGTCAATAACGTAGGTATGCTTTGTTAATACGTTAACAGGGGAGTTACGAGAAATCAATATTTTTATTGAATTTGTTTAAAATATAAAAAATAAATAAATAATAAAATTATTTTAAAATATATTATTTAAATTTTAAAAATATTTTTTAATATAACTTGTTATTTTTAAACGATTTATTTAGTTTATACAATAATCTTATTTGCTATCAAATAATATTTATTTATATTTTCATAATTTTATTCTTCTTCTTCTTCCTTCTTGTATGTAGGCTTTAAAGCCTGCTTCTTCTTCAATATTACCCTCCTAAATTGTTTAAATTATCGCACCATCTTTGTCTTGGTCTGCCAATACTTCTTTGTCAATTTGGTGACTTATCTCGTGCTATTCGTACTGTCCTATCATCTGCCGTTCTACTAATGTATTCGACTACTGTTTCCGTTTACCCATCTATTTATGTCTTCTATATTGCATGCTCTTCTTATGTTTTTGCTTCTCTCCCTATCCAATAGAGGTATCCCTATCTGATATTCGTATGTTCATCTCTGTTGTTTTCAGTAGTCGTCTCGTTTTAGATGTGTCAGGCCTTGTTTCCGCTGTGTATGTTAATATTGTAGCATTTGCATTTACGTATTAAATTGAAATCCCCTCGTAGTTGTTTAAAAAATCGAAGAATATTTTTAGTGGATTTCAGTTTCCTATCGTAAAAGTTAAAATAACCGAAATATATTTAATTCCTTTTGACGTCGCAAGAGTGAATATAAACACATTTTAGAGTTTGTTTACATTTTACAGATGTGTACTTCCTCGGAATTTCTTTTAATGTTTTATACGAAGTGGCTTTGGAATTTTTGTACATCGAAGAAATAGGATATTTTGCGTTTCCGTTCTCGTTGTAAGTGTTTTGTGTATACCAAGTTATTGCCGGCAAGATAATTGCGACATTCTCACTTGGGTCGCTGTCAGAGGTAGTCGGCTTCAGTGTGGATCCAAATTTATTCATCGAATTTGTAAAGTTTCCTGATTTTGCCCCTTTTCATGGAAAATGCGTAGCAGTGTAAAGTTAATTGTGCAGTATGTGTAGTTACAAAAGAGGTTGAAAAAGTATTTAAGAAATTTTTGTCGCCTGCAGCAATTTGATGTTCCAGTTTCCTGTTTTTTTTAAGAAGATCAGTCTGAAGTTGTATCTAGTATCGCCCATTTCAATCCTCAATGTCCTAAGCGACCGTTTCGAGATATTTTTTCCACAGTTTGGAGATGCAGATTTTGCTTGGCAGAGAAGGTAACCCCAGAAATTTTAGTGCAATTTTTTTTGGTGAATTCAGGTAACTTTTTTTGTGATTAAATCTTTAAGTAAATATAGATTTTTTAAAGTAATAATTGCTTTCAAAATTGCATAATTTAAAGGAATTGTAATATTTAAAATTGTAAATTTTAGAGTCTGACTGTAGCTGTCAATTTTTTTGTTCCCATGTTCTAAGTTTAATGTTAACATATGACAGCTAGCTTTATTATTTTATTAGTTTGTTTTGTTTTTAAAGAAGGTTGACCTCCATGCAGTAACATTTGTATATTTTTGTAGTATCTCCAACTCCTGGAGTTTGTAAACGTATGACATGTAAGTTTTCTTTGTTATTTTTGATATAAAAATCTTTGTGCCATTTATTTTTGTAACTGTTTGCCTATTTATTCACAGAGACCTATGTAAGTAACCCCTTTGTTTCATTTTTTTGTACACAATCCAACGTCCTTGCCATTTACTTATTTACGACTCCAGCTCTCCAAACAAACCCTGAGTGCCTTGCGGATAAGTATCGATTATTTTGCTTGCCCTATCTCCACCCCCATAGTTTCTGTTCCCAAATTTTCAACCCCCATAGTAATACCCTGTGTGGTAGGCAAAATATATTCGTTACAATATAGGTTTAATTGCTGCTTTGTAGATTCTTGTTTTTGTGTCTTGTCTTAGGTGTTTGTTCTTCCAAATTGGGTCATTAATGGATCCCGCCGCTTTACTTGATTTTAAGCTTTATTGTCATAATTCTTGTTCAAAATCTCCATAACTAGTTATATCTATTCCCATATATTTAAACCTTACTTCCTGCTTTATTATTTTCCCATCAGTTTCGATTTTACATCATGGTAGTTTCATAATTTCATATAAATATAAATACAATGTTGAATTTTTGCAATTATCAGTTCGTGCATTAAAGTACGATAAAAAAGGTTATTAGTAAAACATTTTCATATTTTGTAGTCACAGCGTAATAGTCCATTTGTGTATCTAACGAGGGGGTGGCCGTTAGGTAAACAAAATGTCAATATATAATTTTTGTCAATACCATAATTTATTATTTCGATTTTTGAAATGTTTCATCAGAAAACATGGTTCATACAGAAAACGTAAAAAAGATCTTACTAATAAATGCGATAAAGCATGAAAAAAAGTTAAAAAAGACACACCTACAAAAACCGCTGCTAAATATAAATTTGATTGAAAGTATTATGAAAGTGTAAAGAGAATAGTAAAAAGAGCAATTTTGTTGATTAATATAAAGCTTCGCGCTAGTCTACAGCACCGCCTACTGACCCTTTTTTTTTAATAGTAAATTGTCAAAATAGTTTCACTTTCTATTTATGTCTAGCTTTTAGAGAAATATGCACCACATAAAAAGTTATGAGGGTAAAAGTTAGATTAAATCAACGATTTCTCGACTACCCTTCTGCCGGACAACTGCAAATATACTCAAGTTTTAATAATTCATATAAAAAAGACTAGATGAGTTGTCCTATTTGTCTTTAATACTTAAATTGGGTCACATTTAAAAAATGTTGTCCAGAGAATGACTGTCAGATGCAAAAAAAGTGAAGCAGTATGCGGTACTGTAGACTAGCGCGAAGCTTCATACTATGTTTTCTGTATTTTTAAAATTTAAATAAAGTAATTTTATTATTTATTTATTTATTATTTTTTAAACAAATTTAATAAATTATTATGTTTGCTCCTAACGCCACCTGTAACAAAGCATACGATTACGTATGACAAAGCTGTCAAACTCAGGCCAAATATTACTAATAAAATATAAATAAATATCATTTGATAGTAAATTTAATTATTATATAAACTAAATGATATGTTTAAAAATAATAAAGCCATTTATATGAAATTATTTTAAAACGAGAATTATTATAAAATATTCTTTTAACAGATAGGCAATTTTAGACAGATATTCTTTTAAATTTTTCCTCCTCCTCCTCTATCTTTTATCCTTCGTAAGGGTGTGGTGACGTTATGGTATTTGACGAATGGTTGCTATCCATTCTTCTCTCTCCTGGGCGCGGTGTGCTGTCTAAGACAGAGAGTAACCGGTAGCGCACATTAATGGTCTGACCATCTGAGTGGCGATCTTCCTCGAGTTCTTTTACTATCTACCTTTTGAATAAACTTTCAGACTTGCAGAGTATAATTAAATAAGTGTAAATAATTATTTAAGAAAGTAAAACACCGCTTCATGTGCAGAACAGAATGACAACTTTATTATTACTTTCATGGTAGCCAACCTGATTTACAATATGTTTGGGGATCAGGATAGGCAACATTTCAATACCCCCTCTCAATTTATACAACATTTATAAAAGTATTAAATTTGGATAAATTGTCAACTACATAAACAAAAATAATCTTAATAATTGAACAAAATTAAATTGCACAAAAAGAAATAATAATAATACTAGTTCATAATACAACTGAACAGTTTACAACTTATATCTACATATTGAAGTATTCATAAACTTTCCAATAACTCAAATAAAATTCACAAATAAAATACATGATTCACATGAATACCTAAAGTATAAATGCACCAATTTACAATATATAAAAGGTAATTAAGCATTAGTTACTTTCAACATTCTTGAATTTTTATCATATTCCTGAGACGTAAAAATATTTCATTTGAAGGAGCTTTAGTGAAAATATCGGAACAATTTGATTTTGTATTTATGTACTGTAAGGTAATTACATTGTTCTCAATTAGATTTCGAATGAAATGATATTTTCTGTCGATATGCTTAGACCTTTTTCCTTTAAATGAATTTTTAGCAATACATATAGGTCCCTGGTTATCAATATATAATATACTACCAGTTATTTTCTCGTTCAACAATTCTTCTGCTAGGTTTTTTGTGAACAGTAATTCACAACATGTAACAGTTGATGAAACATATTCTGCCTCAGTGCTACTCAATGAAACAGTGCTCTGTTTCCTTGCATACCATGAAACTGGATTGTCTAGAAAATATATTATGCCTCCTGACATGCTTTTTCTATCATTGACATTAGCTGCCCAGTCTGAATCTGAATATGCAAATATTAAAGGTTTTCTTGATATACTTTTGCTGTATA